GTCCCTGTCCCCAAGGTGTCCTTGTCCCCACGCTGTCCTTGTCCCCACACATCCCTGTCCCCAAGGTGTCCTTGTCCCCAAGGTGTCCTCGTCCCCACAGTGTCCCTTTCCCCACATGTCCTTGTCCCCACATGTCCCCAACCCCAGGGTGTCCTTGTCCCCACGCTGTCCTTCTGTCCCCACACATCCTTGTCCCCACACGTCCCCATCCCCAAGGTGTCCTTGTCCCCACGCTGTCCCCATGTCCCCACAGTATCCCCTGTCCCCACGCTGTCCTTGTGCCCCACAGTGTCCCTGTCCCTACATGTCCCTGTCCCCACAGTGTCCCTGTCCCCACATGTCCTTGTCCCCAAGGTGTCCTTGTCCCCACGCTGTCCCCATGTCCTACAGCAGCCCCTGTCCCCATGCTGTCCCCATCCCCACGGCGTCCTCGTCCCCACATGTCCCTGTCCCCACACGTCCTGGTCCCCACGCTGTCCCCGTGCCCCATGGCGTCCCCTGTCCCCACACTGTCCCCATCCCCGCACGTCCTTGTCCCCACACGTCCCCATCCCCAAGGTGTCCTTGTCCCCACGCTGTCCCCATGTCCCACAGCATCCTCGTCCCCGTAAGTCCCTGTCCCCACGGTGTCCCCTGTTCCCACTCATCCCTGTCTCCTGGGTGTCCCCGTCCCCAGGGCGTCCCCGTCCCCACTCTGTCCCTGTGTCCCACAGCGTCCCCTGTCCCCACAGTGTCCCTGTCCCCACACGTCACCATCCCCAAACATCACCACACGCACACCGTCCCCATGCCCACACTGTCCCCACCCTATCCCTGTCCCCACATGTCCCCACACTGTCCCCGTCCCCACGCTGTCCCTGTCCCCACAGAGTCCCCATCCCCACGCTGTCCCCATCCCCATATGTCCCTGTCCCCACAGAGTCCCCATCCCCACGGCATCCCCATGCCCGCGCTGTCCCTGTCCCCACACGTCCCCGTCCCCAAGGTGTCCTTGTCCCCACGCTTTCCCCATCCCAACGCCGTCCCCATGCCCACGTTCTCCCCACCCTGTCCCCATCCCCACATGTCCCCAAGCTGTCCCCATCCCCACACCATCCCCGTCCCCACCCTGTCCCCATCCCCATGCTGTCCCCATGCCCATGCTGTCCCTGTCCCCACAGTGTCTCTGTCGCCACGCTGTCCCTGTCCCCACACCATCCCTGTCCCCACATGTCACCATCCCCACACATCACCATCCCCACGCTATCCCCATGCCCACGCTGTCCCTGTCCCCATCCCCACATGTCCCCACGCCGTCCCCATGCCCACACTGTCCCCACTCTGTCCCCATCCCCATCCCTTATCCCTGTCCCCACATGTCCCCACGCTATCCCCGTGCCCACACCGTCCCTGTCCCCATCCCCACATGTCCCCA